TAGCAGTCTTAAAATCCTAAATAATTGGAAAAAAAAAGGAAGTTATATATGAAAATATCATTGAATTTTTTAATTTGATTTGATTGTTTGAATAGATTAATACATGTCTTGAGGTTACAACTGATTTTAAAATATTTATAGGATGGTTACGAGGGTTTGGTGATGAAAATGATGTAAAAATTAGGTTAAGGGCCAATACCAAAGGCTCCGCGGTTTTCAATAACATGTGGTGACCGGAAAATGAGTATTTATGAAGGAAAAAAAATTGACAATGATAGAAGTTTTAGTGATTAATAATTAGAATGCATAATTTTTAAAATTTTAGTAACAATAATAGTGAAGCAATAACACTTTATGTGTGTGTATTCATCACTACCAATAGATTAACATCTAAAACGAAAAATGTTCCAAATAACAAGGATTTAACAATTAATAACTCGCCATCGTTTAGTTTATATTAATTTTTGAGGATTATTTCTCAAGATTGATCATAACTCCTTGACACACCTCGTAAATGTGAACAACTCAAATAAATCATTGCTTGATTTTATTATTCTCCATTTAAATTTGTAATTAGGTTTTAGATAACAAAATTTTTTGTTTGAAGTTGCATCAATGTCCCAAAAATGTGATTCCTACTTCTTTTAAAGTAGCATAGACAAATTATATAATTGATTAATCTTGTTATTTTCATGTGTAAATTTATAATTAGATTTCAAATGATGTTTGTTTTGAAGTTGCGCTTATGAAAACAAAAATCACTGCTAGTTTGGAAAATTATTGGGTTTCTCAATCAATATCACTAATTTATTAATTAGAATTAAACACTTTTTCAATCAATATTATGAACTCATTAACTAAACTTTAACATTTTTTTATTGGATAAAAAAGAACTCTCGGGCAACATAAGTGTATTTAAAAACAAAAATACATGATTCAGGGTATGAACCTAACTAAGCAAAAAAGAAGGTATAATATAATAGGATTATAAATGAAAAAAATATCAATCATTAATGGATCAATATAAACAAAAACAAAATCATTAGAAGCTGTAAAGAAGCACAATTACCAAAACAAATTTTTTTGTTATGAAGTTAGGATTCTAACAAATCAAATGACAAAAAAAAAAGAAAAAAAAACTAACAAATAAAAAGAAAACAAACTTACATGAGACAATCTAAGTGAGCATGTAAAATATATAAGTCAAATAATGAGACTGGATTAAGCCACTTAGAAGGAGGGGGAAAAAACTGAACTCCACTTCCAAACAAATCAAATATAAATAGATGAAATTGAAAAAAAAATTAATTAAAAAAACAGCACACCATGAAAACCAATCAAACTCTATAGCCCATATTGCATGAATGAGAAAACTCAATATAATGCAAAACATAAAAGATTACGAAACTCAATTCCAAAACAACCCAGCATTACGGGACAAAACTCAACAAACATTAAATAAAAAAAATATTCTTAAAAAAACAAGTAAACTTAAGCTAACCCTTTAAATTTACAATCTAAGTGATATGACTGAGATAAACAAATAGAAAAAAAACTGAAAGAGATCACAAAACCTAGTATCAGAAAACTTTAACCTTGAAGAATGAAATTAAAAAATAAAATTAATATATAGTCAATCTAATATTAAACGATAAAATTAAAAAAAATATATTAATTTTAAAAATTTATCAAAAGTAAATTGAACAAAGAACAAAAAATAAAAAGAAATGAGATAGCCATGGCTATTTTCAAAATTCATGAAAAAATATATAGAAAGTAAATAAATAGAGTAACATTAGCTCATTCTCTGTTTGAATAGATGTTGAATAACGAAATTTAAAAAACATGGGTTTTAAAAATGAAAAAAAGAAGCAAACTTGAAAATACCTTTTATACCTAGATTAATCTTTAAAACTTGCAGCATGTGAAATTATGGAACTGGGTTTGATAAAAAAGCTCAACTCTTAATTAATTTAATATGGAATGATAAAGTCGGGAAAAAAAGGTCAGTCAAAACAAATTCCAAAGTGAAACAAATATCAATCAAATTTGATGGGAAAAAAAAACTTAAAAATGATGAAATTGTAAAAAAAATAATAATCAATTTTAAAAAAATTATCTCAGGAAAAAATAGCAATCAAAAGAATATGGATTAAATTTGAAAGATAAAGAATTGAAAGAGATGAAACTGAAAAAGAATTTTAAATTTATAAAGTATTATAGATAAAACAAATAGTAATCAAAATAATAAAAACTAAAATTAAAAGAATAACAAGTCAAATGGTTGCTTTAAAGTTTCGAAGTGAAAGACACAAACATCAAGGAAAAGAGCAAAAAAAAAAAGAAAAATAAAGGAAAAGATTGCTGGCGACGGACCATAAGGATGTTAGCCATTTATGTCATCTCATCATGGAAGAAAAACCGAGATGATTCAAATGAACGTGCAAAAGGTGGTATTTGACCACCAGTAGGCCCTACACATTTCGCCCACTTACTAGCACCTATTCTGTACGCACCACAAGTTTTATATATATATATTTTTTATGATGAAAAAATATCGAGAAAATGTAAAAACTCCTGAAAGGTAGTTTAGTAAAATATTTCTTTAAATGTAATTAAATAATTATATTGTACTAAAACATAAAGAAACTTTAAAGCCTTGTACAATTTAATGACTAGTTCAAAGTTTTTATGGTGGAAGAGCAATTTTCTTAGAATATTATTTTAATAAATAGTGTTTTGAATTTTGGGATACAATAATTTCCTTATAATTTTTAGTTATGAACATTGTTATTAAACTCGAACTGTCCTAGCAGACTGACCTGAGATCCAGTGGCTAGACTAGTTTGGATTTGCTAAAAGATTAGTCGGCATGATAACCCAGCTAAACCCAGTCGATCAGGCAAGTCGACTCATGACCCGAAAAACCCGAATAAACCCGGGCGAGACCTAGTGTTTTTTTTATTTAAATGTGGTATTTATCATTCAGCTTCTCCTCTTATTTTTTCATCTTTTTTATAACAAGTTGTTGTTTGTAAATGCTCTAATCGTCCATGAAAACTAGCTTAATGGAGACAAGCTAGCTGAGAAGTTTGTTCTCGTATGCTATAGGCCAGTCTAAGAAAAGAAACACATAAATGAATGGTTTATGTTGTTTCATTTTTAGATCTCTGATGCTACTAGAAAATAAAAATAATAAAAAAAACAAGCAAATCGCCATTGATAGTGATTCCTACTATTGTTAGTTAATTTTCTATGGCGAGCTGCTATTTTATCTCGAAGAGCTAGATCTTTTGGTTTAGCCAATAAGTGACTGGGGAATAAAAGAGAGGGGCTCTCTATTTTTGGTCAAGAAGACAAAGGGATGACTAAGAAAGCAATGAGGAGAGTTGTGGCTGGGTCTCTATGGCAATTGCTTTGGCAAATGAAAAGGGAAGCTTTGTTGGTGCAGGGAGAGAAAATCCAAAGGAACGAGGGTGTTTCTAGTAGAGATAGGGAAATTTTAAGGCTTTTTGTGCCCTTTTTTAATTTTTTTTAATTAAAAAAATAACATGTTTTTTTTATCGATAATAAAAAATATTTTAAAATATTTTTTTAAACTTTATTGTTTATAACATATATAACCCATATTCACATGAATTTTTTCTTATTTTTTTATATAAATATTAAAACTTCTATATATTTTTTAAATTTTTTTTGGGCTAATCCAAGTTAACCCATAAAACACAGGACTCCGATCTGTAACCGGGTCAATCCCCAAACTGAGTTTAATAACTATGGTTATGAACTAGATTTGTGACCCATGATTCGTGCTAAAAAAGAGATTTTAGTCTTCAATTAAATAAACAGTGAAGAATAAAACGAGAAAAGAATAGCTTAGATAAAGAAAGAAATTATCAAGCAAACTTGAGTAAATATCCTAAACCTAGTCAAATATTAAAAACTTGCAACTTGTGAAATCTTGGATTTGAGTCCAATTAAGAAATTTATTATAAATCAATTTAAAAAACTTGTTAAAGCAAACAAATTGACAATAAAAAGAACAATGATTAAATTTGATAGGAAAAAATCAAAGGGGGGTGAAATTGTAAACCATTATCAATTTTAAAAACATTTTGAAACAAAAAAATAGCAATAAAAAAAGTAATGACCAAATTTGAAGGACAAAAAAATTAAGATAGATGAAATTGAAAAGACATATCAATTTTATAAATTATTCAAGATATAAAATTCATAATAAAAGAAAAAAAAACTAAATATGAAGAATTAATAAATTAGAAGGCAGTTTTTAGACTTTTAGCATGCTGATATGAAAATTGAGGTAGAAAAAGAAAAGAAAGGAAAAAAAATAAATGATCATCGATACCTAAAACACGTGTTATCTTATTAGGTTTAAGGAGCTGATAAATGCTATCTAAATGACCTGGAGATTGTCCACTTTGAACATTGCACGCGCCAATATTTTTTTAAAATAATATTTAATATATGTAAATTGTTATAATATCCCATTTAATATCTAACATTTACTATAAAATCAATGTAAAATAATAAAAGAAATCTTTAAGAGGGAATTATATTGTTTTTGTGACATAATTAAACTATTTTGAAATAAATAAAATGGCTAAAACACCATTGACTGAAAGACATTATATTTTTTATCCTAAAACTGGAATAGTAATTTTACCATGAAAAGAAAAATCTAACCTCGTATAGTATATTAAAAACAATTATGTTTAAGTAAAAAAATAACAAGCCTAATTTAATATTTTTTTCCCTGATAAATTTATAATTATATTATTATAATAAATAATAATACGTGTTTTGTTTCACGGTAAGTTAAGTTATTAAGAAGATTTAGTTTTTTTGAAGTGTTAATAATAGTATCCTGGGTTTAGGGCTACAATAACTTCTTCTTTTAATAATTTAATTTAATTCTTTCATCTCCCTCCACCCGAGCAACGAATGGTGAGAAATACCGAAATTAGATATATTCTTTTCTTATCCTTTAACAACGCAAGGACAGTTAACCAAAAAGAAAAAAAAAAATGTTGCTGCTAAGCCAAGCTCCAAGAGGGGCTTTATCGGCCAAAAGACGCACTCCACTCAAATTCGTCCCCCAAAATCCACCATTATTCTTGAACTCTACCAAACCCAAATTCATTTCCAGAAAACAATCAACCTTCCCCCTTACTCTTGCCAAACCCGAAGGAGGTTTAGATTCCACTTCTGCAACCAAACAATCCCTCTCCACCAACAATCCAGCTCCCTCTCCTCCAACGCCCAACGACACTGTTTTTGTGGGCCAAGAGGATGTTCCTTTAGAAGGTGTCATTCAGTTCGAGAAACCCACTTCTTCTGGGCGTCTTGAAAAATGGGGGTAATTTTCATCTTCTTTTATTTACAGATTTTACGGGCCTTTTCCTTGTCATTTAATCTTTTTAATGCTACGTGGCAGTCGTGTGGCTTTGCTGGCTGGTGGGGACGTGTTGGCTTTGCTCTTGTTCTCTGCAATTGGCAGGTTTAGCCATGGTTTCTCTGTTTTTGACTTCGAGACACTACGCACTGCTGATCCTTTTATTGCTGGTACGCATGTCTGGTTTTTTTTTTTTTTAAATAATCTATTTGCATGTTTTTCTTTTCAGTTTAAAGTTTAAATTCAATTGCTTAAAGGGAGTTAATGTGGGTTAATGATGAGCAGGGTGGTTTCTGGGTGCTTACTTCCTTGGGGGTTATGGTGAGGATGGTCGTGGAATGAATGGTCTGTCTAAGGCTGCTATTGCTGCTGCCAAATCATGGGCTACGGGGATTCCTGTAAGTTCCATTATCTGCTAGGAGGTGCTGCCTATCTATTTCCTATTGTTATTAGGAGGATTTCCCGAGTGCAGATGCTAATTTGCTTTCTTATTTAGAATTTTATATTTTGCCCGTGGGCTAATCATAAATGCATCTAATGGTAAAATCTCATAACCTGGGCATTTCGTGTCATCTCAAAGTTTACCCACACTTTTAATTTTTGGCAGTAACTTTTACTCCCCATTTGTCCAGTGCTATTCTAATTATTCGTGATTTCACGTATTCATATAAATTTCAGTGGAGGGGTTACTGAACTTAACCCTTGGTTAACAGCTCTGATGTATTAGGCATCATCATATTTTGCAGATTAATGGACAAGAAAGAAAAGGAGATTATAATGTGATCCCGGAGGGTAAGAACTATTGAACCCACACTCAAGAAAGCTAAAATCAGATTACGATAAAAAACTTGACACAATGATTATTTGAACCAAGGCATCAAAATTATTGGATTAAAAAGACCCTAATCCTATGATTGTAATGAATCACGAACTAAAAGTACAGGAAGAGTGCTATAAAGACAGTTGATCTTTAATAAGTCAAGAAAAATTCAATGAAAAACCTAAAGCATGAGCAATCTCACACGATATATTATTATGAAATCGAAGTTTGTAAGAAACTTAAGTACAATCTAAATAGCCCTATTTATACCAGGTAAAAACATCCTAAACAAGACTGAAAAAATAATTAAAGATTACCAATTCAAATAGAAAACAAAATCTTAAAACAACTAGAAAAATAATACAATTTTCACATAGTAACTTCAGAATCTTATCACAATGATTTCTTGATGTCTAATCGTTACAAAATTTTAATCCTGTATAAAATAATGCTTATGGAATCTTCTAACAAAACTTAAATTTTAATCTTGTATAAAATAATGCTTATGGAATCTTCTATCAAAACTTCAGTCTGATTCAACGGTTGAATAGATAATTATGTTTGTTTGTGTAAAACTGTGTACTAAAAAAAATAAAGCTAAAATCCAACTTAAATTTGTTCAACTCCTAAAGGAATCTGCAAACCATGAGGAAACCAAGCCCAAACTGCCCCTCCATGTCCTTGTCACTTCCTCAATTCCTTTTCTTGTGTGGATTTACATTAATTATAGGTTGATCATCCCTTATTGAAGTCTGAAAGCTTAACTTGACCTAAATATCCTGAATAAGCACATTGAGTGCCTCTTTAATCTTCTTGGCCCTTGACCTTGTAATGGGCTCAATTGACACCTCTATCGGTTCATGTGTTTTTTCTTGATGATTCTCATCAAATAAGGTTGTCCCTTGTCATGGCTTTGGAATGGAGCTGTTCATTGTTTAGCACATGATATCAAGACGATCATAGGAGTTTGTACACTAGACTTTAGCAGGTGCAGGATTGAATGCGTTGATTACAAATTAGATTCCATCAATGGCTACAATGGGGTGTGTCCTATAGTGTTTTCTGATCTAGAATTTCAACTTTGGAGCCTCTTTATTGAGCAGCTACCCTTCTTTAAATTGTGAGACTTACTGGTCTATTGCTAATTGACTTAGAGCCTATGCTCTATATGTGGGACTATTATGAAGCAGGGAATGTCTTAGAGTATCCCATGTCTTACGTTGATAATGAGTAAGAGGCAATTGGTATTCTCTAAGTTGCCTATTGTACATTTAATGAAGCAACGTCAATAATTGTATATATGAAAACATCCATCCCAATTAGTTTGACTGATATTTAGTTGAGTTGAAGTGAAAATCATGCATCCGGTGCAATTTTATTCTATATCAGGCTCTATATTGTAAAACCATTCTTCTCATGTGACAGGGCACAATTGCATTTCTGATCTGTTTAATGCTTCATGCAAGTACTGAGAGCCCAGCGATCTCAAAATGCTCAGTAGAGGTCTTGCTAGAGCATTTGATATATAAAGGGTTTTGATTTTTTTTAAGGTGCTTTCTTAGATGGCTAACCTGTACTTCTTTATTGTGTTGCGTGGAGTTCTGTTCCCAGATACACATTTTGCTTCTGCTTGTTTTAGGATAAAAATTAAAAACCTTGGCTTTCAATGTTTTCTTACAATACCATGCTGGCTGCTAGGTTTAAGAAATTAGGAATTCTATTTGCGTCTTATAAGAGGTGGCATTTATTGTCTGTTTTGATTGTGGAACAAGATTGCACCATGCCATGGTTCCGTGTCTCAGTTGTACATCTAATAAAGAGAAATCAACAATTGGTAACTGAGGTTTAGTCGAGTTGATGTTAAAATGAATAAATCAGTGGAATATATGTCTGCAGCAACCCTTTTGTGGAACAATCGTACCTCTCACTTACCAGGCTAAATTGCATTTCTAACCTGTTCCATGCCTCATGTAAGTAGTGAGAGCCCAGTGATTTCAAACTGCTCGGTAGATGTCTTCCTATATAATTCATTATATAACAGTTTTAAAGGGTTTACATTTTTATTAATGTTCTTTTTTAGATGGCCAATTTGATTATCCTTGATTGTGCTGCACAGATTTCTATTAGCTTATATAGATGCTGCTTTTGCTTGTTTCAAGATAAAAATCAAAGGCCTTAAGAGTTCATTTTTCTCTTACAATCGTGTGCCAGCTACCAAGTTGAAGAAATTATTTTTATCTGTATTCATTGTTGCTCGTGATGCACCACCAAATAAACCACATTTTCATGTTTCAGTAGAAGGTGTCTAGGGCTTTTTCTTATCTGAACAGGTTCCTTCCTTTTCAATAATATTCATTTCAATTATCTTCACATAGCTTGCTATTTGAGTGACTTTCATGGCTGAAAATTATTAAATAACAAAAGGTATTATTGCAACTATATTGGTATTTGTCAAGCAGGCACAGAAAAGAATGGCTGACTGAACTGTTTTCTATCATTTGCTTGATTGGCAGCTAGGATTGATTATAAGAGCAGCATCATCAGGCCACGTTCCACCATCTACCTTTATATTAGTAACAATGGGAAGCACAGGTGTTTTACTTATTGGATGGAGGATGCTATTATCTAGAGTTCTCTCCAATGATGAGAGTAAGAAGAACGATGTATACCGGCAGGGCAGCCCATTTGAACTATTTGAGGTATTCTTTTTTTTATATATATATATAGAAATTTTTAATCTCTGAATTCTTGAAGCCGGAGCTTTTTGCGCTGCAACCCAGGAGAGTTGTTTGTAAAGAATCTTATCTTATTATGCGTAATGGAACTTGAAATTCCATACTTAGATGAGCATATGAGAAGTGATTGTTCCTTGAACGCCATAACTACTGCTCTGGAGGGTCTCTTTATTGAACTGCTCTTTTTCTGGAACCACAATGCCTCTGAAGCATTCCATACCTAAATACTGATTCCCTGAACTGCAGCTTCCGAGTTGAGCAATGTGTAGATAGAAATGGAGCATTGTTGAATTGGGGATGATTCACTTTGTTTTAAAGGAGATCAACATTTGGAAAAGGGGTGAACATGCAGTTTTCACCATGTAACAGCAACTGTAACCACAACTTATCAGGGAGGCCTTCCCCTTTTCCTTCTCATTCTTCTGCCAACCCTCATGGCAGACTACTCTTGGAAGGAAAAGGAACGTGAACTTTCCAATTTATCCCCTTTTTTTTTTCAAATAATCAGAAGGAATTTCCAATTGAAAATAGGTGTATATCTCATCCTCTAATGTTGGATGATTCACCAAAATGTATCAGCATTTTCTCCTCTTTACAGATTGAAACTGGATTCCTCCCATTGTGCTAATATATTGAGATACTTATTGCTAATGGAGAATTGCACGTGAATCTTTGCAGTTGCTCACATCATTGGTACGAAGGTGGTGACAGCATGGCCATTTCAGATGTGATGTGATTTGATGGAGGGGTTATTCTCTCACAAGTCACAAGGCATCATCACTATTCAGTTTTTAAATAAGTTGTCATTTTACTTACCAGCTACCATTGTAACAGGTATGGAAAACAAAATCCTGGTTAGATGTGAATTTATGATTGTTATGACTTGAATTTCAATACCATAGCGTTCTTAAATCTTTCTGAAATCTGAATATGCTTGTTTCCTCTGTTCTTAGTCGGGGGTATATAGAATGGAATAATGCTGTAATTTTCTAGATTCATTAATATCAAAATCTGCTGCAGCAAATTTTTTTCTTTGAAAAACAAAAAACAAATTATTTTGGATTAATTTGAAGTTATTATTATGATCAATTAATCAAGTGGGAAAGTAGTGCCGTCGAGGTATGTACCAAAGTCGCGGTTCATAGCGTCTAATGTTTGATGGCCTTGTGGAAATCTAGAGTTTTGATTATAGGTACCGTTTCATATTTCTGTTAAATGATGATGCATTTTTGTGGATATGATGTTGATCCTGTGATACCATTTCATATTTCTGTTAAATATGTTGATCCTGATTAGCTACTGTGTATGCACTGTAGATGATGCGCAATTAACATTTTGGAATTGATATTTGAACTATTAATTCCACAATTTAACACAATATTAGTGGCCTTTGGACTGATTTTTGGTCACTCTGAAATGTTGAGGAATTGACTGAATTTGGAGGTATTTCTGACCTGAGACAGGTTTCAAGATGGCGTTTAAGGATTTCGCTCTTTGTTCACCTATGATCAGAAGATTTTTATGTTTCCTTTTTCTGTGTCGAAAGTTTGTAACACCGGGCCGCTCATGATATAAGCCCAAGAGTGCCCGAAAGTGTAACTTTGTGTCTTCCTCTATCCCTCCTTTCACTTCAGGTTCGTTTCTGGTTCCCTGTAAAATGTGCCCCACTCTTCTGTTACACTTAAAGTCTGTTAGCAGTTGTTCTGAAAATATATTAAAATAATATATATTTTTATTTTTTAAAATTTATTTTTGATATTAGTATGTAAAAATTATCTGAAAATATTTTTAAAACTTCAAAATAATTAGGCTGTTAGTGATGCTTGCTGGGCACGCGCTTGAACATTTTCCCTTCTCCAGTCAAAACAACCATGAAATTCTGATTAGCCAAAGACTAGAATCTGTCCTTGGCTTGTCGTTTCAGGTACATCTAGTTCAAGACATCTTTATCCCAATACGCGATAGAGTTAAAACATCCCACGTCTGGGTCTGGGGGGTCTGTCATTACCTATGAAAAAATTCGTTTTTTTATTAAGACATTAGATCATGGATCCCCAGGTTTCCAAACAGGCAAAGCGGTAGAGGATTTTTCTGTAATTATATGTGGTACTGTCTGATTGGACGTTTCACAAAGCAAAAGTACCATCTCTGATCGTTTTGTGGTGCTGTGTGACAGCATGATCGTGAGTGTTTTGTAAAAGTATTTTTTTTACTTAAAAATATTTGAAAAAGGACAAGCATTGCTGAAGGAGGGCTTATCACGATTGACTACAAACCACGATTTTATATTTTAAAGTATTTTTTATTATAAAATATATTAAAATAATATGAAAGTATAAAAAAACATATTAATTTAAAAAAATAAAAAACTTTTAAATTTTTTTATAAATACTTTCTGATTGCAGTGCCATACATACACTGCCAATCGCCCTAGATGTGAGATTTATCAGTTTTTGGTTTTTTAAATAAAACAGCTTCCAAATTATCATATTCTGAGAGAAAAAAAAAACAATAACACAGTTTAATTGTGCGCAGCACAACTTATTAAATTTTAAAGTTATATTCTTAGGAGTAACGGAATCTTAAAAAAAAGAAGATTAAAAAATATGAAAAAAATTTCAAAGGTTCTTCCAAATCTTGACAAGGATGAATATTTTATAGCTATTCATGCAATTATTTTTCTTTTTCTTTAATTTAAAGATTTGTGCTAATTGCGTTCTTCTCAGTAGCGTAAATTTTTAAAATTTAAATGGATTGAGCTATTACTGTAGCATAATTAATTAAAATCTTAGTTGTGCTGTTAAGGATCTTAGTTGCACCAACTGAGCTCGTAGTTGTGTTGTTAAGGGTTAAGGGCTACTATAAAGGATTTGTCTTATGAAAAGTAATTTTTTAAAAATTACTTTTAATTTTTTTCAATAGTTGTTTATCTTAAAAAAAAGTTAATTAATAAAAAATATTTTAAAGTAAAAAAAAATGAGTTAGTTTTTATAAAAAAAATTATTTTGGGCAAAATGTAATTTTTAAAAGTTGTAAAAAAAAATCCTATTATTTTTTTATTACTATATATTTTATTCTTTAAAATTTAATTTAATTTTTTATATCAACTTTAATTTTTATTTTTTATTATTTAGTTTTGTCTTATCTCTTTTTTAACTAAATTTTTTTTATCTATTAGATTTGATTTTTATTTTTTTATTTTATTTAAAATAATTTATGAAATTGATTTGTTTTCAACTTCATTCTTTTTTATTTTTTTATTTGTTAAATTTAGTTTTTATTTTGTATTGCTATTTGTTTTATCTGAAATAATTTATAAAATTTGGGTTTTTTTTCTATTTCATCTATCTATCTTAGTTTTTATTTTTTAATAATTTTTTAAAATAAAATATTTTTTAATTTATTTTTCATTCCATAACGAAATACTAAAAATTATTTATCTTTTTTTTTCCATTGATTTTTTATTTTCAGCTTTTAGCTATTAGATATTCATAAATTTTTTAATTGATTTTTGTTCATATTAATTAATTTGTACATGATTTTTTATTAAATAACTGATATTGAAAATAACAATTATAAACAAACGTAATTTAAAAAAAAAATTAAATCAGAAACATATCCCTAAGGTGTCCCACTAGCTAAAAAAAGTACCAAAGCTAATTCACTTGTTAATTATATACCTTCCGACTCTGGTATATAGCTCAAGTATTTAGTCATGTTTGACCACGATATGTGGCTGAATCTTGTGGTTTTAATCATCTAAGTCACATCGTGTAGGTTGCTAGTCTAGAGCAAATAACCTCTGGTCAACTTATTTTACAGCAAAAGAAAAGTTTTTTTTTTTAAATTCGCACAATTTTAAGTTAGGTTTTTTTTTTTAAATTCGCACAATTTTAAAAAAAGGACAAACTAGCAAAAAAAAGTTATCTTTTTATTTATAAATAGATAGCTAGTTTTTGTTTTAAATACTATAGTTTCTTTATGCGGTTTTTCATTTGTCATGCTACTTTTCCTAATCTTTTTTACAAATGCTATTTCTTCAAAACTATCCAACACTTGTGTCAAGTTTGAAAAACACTCAAGAAAGATGAAAAAAAAAATAGAAAACTTATTTCGTAGTCGTTCCTAGTCCAAGACCAAACATTTTATACAAATTTCAAGCTCTGCATATGAGCCGGGTAAGAATCCAAATTGGGCTCCTTTTCCTGCCTGCAGGTCTGAGTTGGATCAGTACCTTAATTCAAGTTTTTAAGTTGATTGTTTGATTATGATAAAAATTATTTTTTAATATATTAAAATTATTTTTTTAAATTTTAAATTTTATTTTTGATATTAACACACTAACACAATATAAAAATATTAAAAAAAATAATTGAAAATAAAAATGGCAAACCGGTCATGTCTTGTTGTTACACAGTGGGGAATAGAAGTACACAGATATCCTGCATGTGAAAGGGCTTAAAGTGAGAGTGATGGGATCTCTTTCTGGTCACATTCCTCGGCTGTGATATTAAGCTTTAAGGATATCTCCAAACGCAGGAGGCAAAAGAGAAGCCAAAACCAAAAAACTGTCCTTTTAGCTCTTTTTTTTCCTCTCAATTACCAGAGTTAAAAGGATAAATAAAAGGGCAAAAATGTTGTTCCTATATATCCCAAAAAAAAACAAAAGAAAATGTAAAGGTAAAGCATTTCTTTCTCCTTTTTCATTGGAGCATATATAGTAAAACAAAACTATATTTCTATATTCAAGATGCTATATTAACATCATGCTCTAATACTATAAAAAGAAATATCCTCGTTGTATTGTCCACTCAACGATCAGAGAGGCAAATATATGGATAAAAATGTTTTCATGGACGTGTAGCCACAACATTCAACGCTGACCATTGTGAACAAGTTGTTGGCAATAAGGGAAAAATAATAGTGCGAAATTGATGTTTCAATGGGAACCCACGCACCTTCTTGATCGATTTCGTGCATAGAACTCTTTCAACCGTATGTTCAGAAAACATTTTCATTCTTGGGCACTCTGAAGAGCATTTAGGATGGGTGGTATGTCCTGAGATGGCTTCTTTTACTAATTTGCTTAAAGACTTGAATGCCAAGTCCTGCCTTGCTTAGGGTCCGGGTCTATTTTTCACTGAAGAAGAAGCTAGTGGTTGCTCTGCTGATCAAAACCTAGCTAGCTGTCCCTTGACTGTAAGAGCAAGAAACCTCCCCTGAGGAAACAGGAGAAGGGTAGTGTGAAAGAGAATCTCAGGTGATTGAGACTTGACAAATGGGCTTGGATCTTGACATGTCATCTCTAGCAGAGATAGAGAGGTGAGAATAGTGACAAACAGAAAATGCATGGTTGGAAGAGGTAAATGCTCTAGGGTTGCATGTAAAGGAGCCTTAAATGAGAGTCAGTGTTAAGGTCTCTCTCATTCTTTCCCTTCGCTGCTGCTGCTGCTGCGTCTTTTCTTTCTTTCATTTACTTTTAATTTTTTATTGGGCAATTTCAATTCAAGGTCTCTTTCTTTTTCGTAAGCATAGAGTAAATAAAGCATTTTATCAACAGCTTGGCGCAGGGAGATACAGCTATTGTTATTGTCCTTCTCAAGCCACCTAGCCTTTCCAGTGATCTCATAGCGCACTTTCTTCTGCTGGCCACGCTCATTGGGCATTGGCCTCTTGTTGTGATTTTGTTTTGGATTTTGTTTTGGATTTTGTGGTCTCACTCTTCTATAGGATTTTGTTTTGGATTTTGTGGTCTCACGTGAATCTCATTACTTGTGAAATTAAATTCTCTCCCTCAGAAAAAGGACTGGGCCTCAGGATTAGATTAAAGAGGTTGAAAAATTAAACCCTACCAGTCACTTCACCTCCACAAGGTTTATGCATGTCTGCTGTAGCAGCGCATTGTCTAATATTGAAATATTTATTGTTTCTGTTTCCTCGCACGTCAGATACCCAATATTCTATTACCGAGATTACTGGTAACTGCAGGTTGGTTATATTGTGATGTGATTATGCGAGCTCGCTTGACACCCCCCCAGTAAAAAGGATAGTGTTCTTTCTCTTCAGAAGATAACACTTCTGTTGAATCCTCCTTAAAAAAAGACTGGTAAAAGTTTTAAGCAAAATCCCGTCACTGCTCCCACCAACACTTGCCCACTCGCTCTTACCGTGTTAATCTCTGCACATAAAAATACTGGAGAAACATTCTATTGTCTCTTGGGTTTTAATACAGTATATGCCAGCTCAAAAGCTGGAATTGCATGTCCTGAAGCTCATTAAATTAAAATGAAACTCAGCACAGGCTTGTCTTGCAACTGTTTTCCACTGTCTTTTTGTCTTTTTTCTAAAGGAGTATTTGTCTAACCTCTTCCTCTTCATCTTCCTCCCTCTGTAACTTGGAAGGTCCCCATTTCTGACTAAGATTTATGCCTTCAGGTGGTCAAGATTTGTTTTCTCCAATTCTATGTTTCCCATCTGGTTCTTCTCTCCTCCATCGAGATTACAACGCACTAGCCTCTTACAATGGATGGCTAATTAATTGGTTTTATAGCCGTGGGAATTAGAAAGGGGCGGTTTACAGGGACACACAAACCATTATACATATCATCTGATATCTAGATTCCTTTATTTCTGTTTCCTTATCTGAAAAGGGTGAGTTTGGAATTGGATGGACAAACCTCCACCTG